CAAATAGTATAGAGGAATCTAAATAGTTATTAAGACATATTTCAATCTGTTGGTCTAATGGTAGTGCATTATCAATCAAAAACGATAATGACATTGAGCAAAAATTCATAAATCTGTTAAACAAAACCTTTCCATATTAACATGTTAATGTGTCTACATTCCAAATGTCAAATGAAGTTTTTTACAACTGAATCTGACAATATGCGTGCAGTAAAAACAAAACTCGTGCTAGGAAATATTGACAAGGGGCATTTGATTATCTTTTTTGATTACTGTTTAAAAATTAAAGTAGGTTCCAAAAGACAGATATGTAAATTATTTTATAAAAAAGCAAAATTCGATAAAATATCACAATTCATTTCAAATGTTGATGGGTCAATTTATTTGAGAATAAACAGGTCCAGAAGATGTATGATGAGTTGATTCATTATAGCAGCATAGCAAGTAATTTATTTGTTCCAATTGTTGTTTCACTTTTTAAAAATAAAGCAACGCCGTGGATAAATAAAGAATTAAAAGATCTTATCAGAAAAAAAAAAGAATCTATGTTATACAAACTGTGCTGGTAAATGAAAAGATGTGAATTTAAGTAATGAGCACAAAAAATTATGTTGCCTTGTAAAATCAGAAGTGAAAAATGGCCGTCTTGCTTACAAAAGAGATTTAGTATTGAAAAATACATTAACAATCAGTTAAATATAAAAGAGTCATTAAAGACTTTAAAAAAACCTGATGGAGAATCGTCTCAAGATCAATTGGAAATTTCAAATATTTTAAATAAATGCTTTCAGGATGTTTTTGTAATTGAAGACCAAGGTGAACTACCATTCTTTGAATCAAGAGTACAAAAAACTACAATAAAGCAGATTTACTGATCTTTCTCCTAAAGAAATTACATACAATAATATTTTAAATTGACTTCAGAAACTTTTCAAAACAAAGCATATGTCCATCTTCATCTGGCACTGCTCAATTCATCAAATACTTTTGCTCTGCTACTTACATTTATTTTTAGGGAATCTTTAGTTTCTAGCCAATTGCTGATTCAATTTAGATCTGCAAACGTAACTCTACTTTACAAAAAAGGCGATAAAATTGTTGCAACAAAAATTAGCGTCCAGCTTCCTTCACTTCAGTTCCGTGTAAGATAATAGAAGGAATAGTTCTAAGTAAAGTTAAAAAATATTTTTATGATAACAATTTGTTAGCGCAGCAGCAACATGGGTTTGTTTTTTCTGGATCAACATTTTAAATGGTGTGCCGCAAGGTTCAGTTATTGGATCTTTCCTTTTTGTTATTTATATTAACAACAACCCTATGATAATGAAAAACACTACAAAGTTAAATGCAGATAATACTAAGATTTAAGCAAGTGCGAATTCTGATCTGTGTGTGAGAGAAATTATAAATGACTTAGAGCCTTTAAATGGACCAAAGATTGGCTATTAAAATTTAACATAAATGTAAACTTTTATATTTTCTATATTTTACATTCATTCGTCCTCTTTTAGAGTTTGCAATTTCAGTTTAGTCTCTGTATGTGAAAGGAGATTATGATGCTATTGAAAGAGTGCAACATAGAGCAACAAAACTTGTACCTTTAATAAGTAACCTTACATATAAAGATTGACTTGTTTCTTTAGACTTAACCACTTTAAATGTAAGAAGAAAAAGGTGACTTGATTCAATTATATAAATTTGTTCATGGCATTGAAAATATAGAAATCATCAAAAATTTTCATTTGTAAATAACAACTCAAAAGGTAGCTGTTTTAAATATCACAAAGAATTTGCCAGACTTCCATCAAAAGAACATTTGTTTTTCAATAGAATTATGAATCTGTGGAACTCGCTTCCAAATGAAGTCGTAACAGCACAATCGGTGGATAATTTAGCCATTTTTTTCATGTACACTTCGACAGCATAACAGCTGTCGAAGTGTACATGAAAAAAATGGCTTTTCCAGTAAAAATTTACTTTTACTACTGTTACTATAACTAGAAGCTTCATGCAATAGCAATCATCAGATGTAACAACAATAAAAAAGTAATGACAATATTTATATACAAAAAACGCTATGGAGCGTCCGCTTTGATGACATTGACGCAAGCTCGTTTTATTTATTAAGCTAATTTAATGGTAATGCAACAATGTGGTATTTTTCTGTCAAACATAATTTGCAAAATTTACCATCAGGTTTAAATGGCTTCGCTTGAACAAGAATATTTCATTTTAGTATAAGTTCTAAAAGCTTTATTTTTACATTCCCACACAAATTTTGAAAGTTCAGTGGAGTTGTTTAGTTATTTTTGTTGTTATAAGTTGTCTTACATTTATACCACCTGGTAAATTTTGCAATTTATGTAAAAATTTATTAAGTTATTAAAGTAATTAATGCAAATTATAGTTAATTTAAAAAAGACTTAAAAGCATAATAAGTATTGTATTAAAATGCGGAACATTCTATTTAAATTTGAAAAATAAGTTTTTTTATTAATAA